CAAATTCTAAGAGTCTTTTAATTGATTTCTGCCTTGTCTTTGAATTAGGCTTCATGTAGTAGTACATACTAAGCATCAGAAAATCTCATACTATTAGCCAAGCTAACCAGTGGTCAGAGCGCCCTTTAATCGAACATTCAAAGTTTGTGGTAGAACTCACCTATTTCTGCCATCAGGCCCCATCCTATACTAAGAAATGCTGCGAAGTTGGCCTCATCAGTTTGCACGTGAATCAGATTTACCGCTTGACCATGAGCACATGGTGAACAGGCAATTTCTATGGCTCTCTTCGTGAATTTCGGGTTTCTCAAAGGCTCCCTAAACTTTATGCTTTAAATGAGCTAAAGAAACTTGTAGTACTGAGGATAACATTACCCGCAGCTGAAGAAAAGCGAAGAGAGTAAGCCATTACCGGAGCCACTTGGTACAATACCAATAGGTAAGCAGGGTATAATAGCGGCTCGATCTGGTCTTTCAAAAAGCCCATTTAATACCTGAAATGGAAAACACAAAAAATTAATTCCGACATTCATTGAAAACTGAACTTTAAGGACCAATGTTCATGAAATCAAAAATTTATTGGGATAAGGAGATATAAGCACAACATTTGCCATCACATGGGGACCAGTTTTCGAAAGTCAACGTGCTTCTGATCAGTCAAGAAGGTTTTTTTTCCCGATACGAAACATTACTTCGAATTAAATAGGGGAATTCTATTTAATGCATTTAGATTGGCAGCGATAGAGAAACAGAGATTTCTATTGAAAATCAGGAAAATTGAAAGATCTAAACTTAGAAGACTTATCATCCTAAAACTTTGTGAGATAAATGAAAATTTGAGAAAAATATGGTGTACCAACCTCAAACACAAGGCCGTCACCGGATAGGATGATTACCCCGTTGAACTTATTGAGGTCTTCTCGCGACCGTACTACTGTCTTTGCATGATTTGGTCCAGCTGAAGAGCAGTACGATAATAGGTTCCAGAATTTTATAAAATGCGCTTGTAAGCTTAATGAACAGTTTAGGGGATAAACACATAAATTAATGATTAAAATTTGGCTCATATCTCTCAAATTTAACCTGCTTTTGCAGCGTTTAAGAACTCGTGTAAAAAAATTTTATAACCTACTTGTGATAATGAGCTCATACTCAATGCAATTCTTCCTTAGCAATGGTCCTACTCGCTGTCGAAATGTTTTCACTCCTTTGCCCGAACCGGAGTGAGGATTGACAAAGACAAGAACGCGTCCAACGGGCACCTCTTCCACATCTGAATAAACGGCGCAGTCATTTAATTTGTCCGTAAGATATCTTCTTGATATTGTTTACAAGAAACCTTTAAGTACTTAGACATTAAGTAATGGGAAAAATTTACAGAAAAATTAGTATTATCTGCAGTAGGTGCCTAGTTCCAATTATAGATGTATTTAGCTTTTATCTGTACAAACAATGAGTGGCCTAAGATATGTACACTTGAACAAAAGAGATAATTAGAGAGAGATAAAAGAACAATAAAAGAAAAAGGGTGCTTTCCATAGAGACACGATCTATAGAATGTTGACAGATAGGGAGTCAAGTGTTTTCAGCATTTTTCGTGAGATGGCAGCAATACAACAAGAATTTATCCGTAACTGTTAGGGATCTGTTCTGTTAAAAGCTTTTGATTCGTATACTACTTCCCCATTCTAAATTCACTCTCATGTTATAATAACTCAATCTAGATTAGCCCAGTTTCCGTATTAGTATGTCCTGATAGGTCAGTGCGTCGAAAAGTGCGAAATTTATTCAGTATAAAAACTGGATATGTTATTATTCTTAATGGTGGAAATGCGCCCAATGAGCATTATCAAGTGGAAAGCAACACTATGTAGTAGAAGCTTTCACTTTTGCATGCGGAGCAGAGTTATTGATAAGAAACAAGCGCACTCTCCGACCCTTTGAGACTAAAATGAGTGCTTTTCCAAAAATTTTAGAAGTTGAAGACAGAAGAAACTTCAATGAAAAAATGCTATTCAAATTCAATGGAAGCGTACAATCTAGATATAATTTCATATCTGGTCAATGTTAGCAAAGTTTTTCAAAATTCTGTATTCAAAAAGTGCAAGTAAAGCCATTAAATTATTCTTGTAAAGCTATAGCTTTAGAGATATCTGTTCGCTATTATAGGTTGAATTGAACTGTGATAAAGAGCATTTCGGTAGATGCTGCTGATATAGATGCAAACTATGATGCCATCAAAACACTGTAATTTCTAAGTTAATTTATCAATAACACATTGAGCCTTAACAACTAGCAGGAAAGTTTTTGCAAGCGCTAAAGATTATTTTGCTCGGGAGATACAAGCACGTCATTTGCCCTAGCATAGAACTTTAGTTAAAATGTAAAAAGAAGAAGGAACTGATCATAGACAAGGAAGCAATCGATGAGTAATTTCACAAGCATAAGAAGTTGTCGTTGCAATGAAATTCTCGAATATTCTAAATGAGATTTGAATTGCCTCCGATTTTTCTTTTGAGAATGAAATTCAGATTTTTGCTGTAAAAAGTGGAGGAAAACAACAGAAAAGATAGAGAAAATTGGAATGGCTGAGCATTAATAAGAACTGTTAGTTGGACTAGAGAGAGCGGTCCAAGAGTTTAAACACTGAAAGAGCTGCAGTACAATTTGGGCTATAGAAAAGTCTTTGAAAAAAAATGAATGATTACAACATGTTCAGAACGCAAAAAAAAAGTTTGGTTTTCGAGAATGCGAGAATAAGTCAAAGAAGAACCTTAATGAGGATAGGACAAGTTTTGATATTTAGAAAACTTTCTAGAAAAGAAGGCGAAAAAAATCTTAGCAACTTATTTTTTTGGTAGTGAACCGTTCAGCTACTCATTTTTTTCTGATAATTTTGATTACATTATGGATACGGTAGCTTTCAAATGAATTCGTACGAGCATTTACGTACACCTACCTCGTTCTGTACGTTGCGTTGGCACTACAGTTGAAGTGCTGGTATGCACTCTGTTGCTGGTCCGACAACACCATGCGCCCATTTCGCACACGTATGCGGTTTCGTACAAGTGCTGCATAGGGCGATCTTTCGTCGTTCAACAATTTCCTCTACGGTCTGCGTTGTCCTACCGTTGCGTTGTCTCTCACAGTCTACGATTCCCACTTGTTGTGTTTCTGAATCATATGGGATGGCACAAAGAGAATAAGAAGCGATTGCATTGACGTAAATTGGTTTAGTAGTGGTTGTAAACAGGTTTTAGGTGGAAACATCCGGTTTGCTAAAGTTAATTTGATATAAAACCTGATTTGAAAGAGTCCCTTTCGCTGAAAAAAGAAATTTGTATTATAAAATTAACAGAAATTTAGGAGTTTGGAACATTTCGCAATCATCAAAAAAAGATTTTAATCGCGCTCTCTGCAAAACTCGATTTATTAAATGTTCTTTTAGTAAATGAAAAAAATGCTGGATACTTAATCTTAAAAATATATCACAAATGTTCAAATTCTATAGCAAAAATAAAAATTATGTTGTTATCAATTTTATAGCTGCAGTTTCTACATATCACTAAACGTATTCAATGTCGAGATCT